ATCTGGTGAGATTTCAGACTGACCTCTTTGAGCCTGATGAGTCAAAAGTATGTTCTGACACAGACATTTAGGAGACAATTTGAGCTTGCCCTGCCTTTCTGAAAGTTAAAATTGTTAAAGTAGGGCTGGAGAATTCAGGTTGTTGAATATCCTGTGGAATAAGGGATTCCCACATCTCATCTTGTGTCCCACATTGGAACATATCAACCAGGTGGCTAAATTCAGTATCAGAGACTGACACTATGAACTTCTGGTCCAGGTACTCATAAAGGACATTTAATATTATCAATTCACTAATATCACTGAATACCAATGATCTGCAGGGAACTGCTTTTTCACACCAGTCCTTACCAGTGCTAAATAGTTCTCCTTTTGAGGCAATAGGCACATTTAGATTTTATTTCCTCTAAATGTATGAATACAAATTACCACAGATTGGCACAACTACATTAACTGTTAGCACTGACACAACATCAAACTACATTTGAATGTGTGAAATAAAATTCTTCCACAAATTCAGCAGAGATCTAAAGCACTATTAGAGTCTGCAGCAATGACGTTTGTCAAGAAATATTAAAATAGCACTTAGTTTGTCTGTATTTATCAAAGCATTTGTTTGGCAGATCTCTTTGCAGCATGTTAATGGTTTATATTAAGTTTTAAAAAGACACTCACAAGCCAGTCTGCTGCCTGGTGAGACAATTAGTGTCAAGCACTTTAATAAAGTAATCTCATTCTTCTAAATCTACTTTCTTTTTGGCAGTAGCATTTTCAGTTTTACATGGTGATAGTAAATGAATGCCTTATTAAGTTATTGATACATAATAAATGTTTATAAAAAAGCTGTGGAATATAATAATTACTAGTAAATAATATATATTTCAAGTATATTCTGCAGCTTAGAGGTCAAGATGCATTTCAATATCATTCACCTCAGCAAGTAAGCTTCTTCATATTCTCAGTAACAAGAAGATACTGGTCAATGTGTAACCCACCAAAACCACTGAAAAAGTTCCTCTGGCTTGCGAGCAAGAGGTAGTCCTCTAACTCTAATCTTTGCCACCAACCCAGAGGCAGATAAAAATTAGTTATACTTGCATTTACTATGCACAGCCTATGGCAATTTTGACAATTTGGTGTAGCACAACGAACATATACTGAAATATTATGTCATCTTTATCACCTTGGCAGCTCCAAGGAGGACAAAAGATTTACACCATGAAAAAAACCTGAGCCTAATCCCTCCCTACATGGGTAGATTTGAGCTGGTGTACTGTCATTTCTAGGTATTCTCAGTTGTGTGGTTATTTCTGTTCTTGTCCTTGTTAGTGGCATACCTTTAACTTCTACCTTGATCTTTTTTGTATATTTAACATCTCTGTTATGAGTAAAACTAGTGCCAGTCATAGAATCATAGAATCACTATGGTTGGAAAGGGCCTCTAGGATCACCAAGTCCAACCTTCCTCCCAACATTCCCCTAACCACTGGACCATAGCCTCAAGTGCTACATCCACTCATTTTTTTAACACCTCCAGGGATGGTGACTCTACCACCTCCCTGGGCAGCCCATTCCAGTGCCTAACCACTCTCTCAGTAAAGAAAATCTCCCTAATATTCAATCAAAATCATTTGAAGTTTTGTTACTGGAAGGTCAACAACAAAAATACCTCTCCTAGAACTCTTTGTGTGGCTTCTCTGTCTGTAGCACTATTTAATTTTTTAGAGCAGTCAGTTGTTGCAGACAATTTCACTCCTGTATTTTTCTATTACTTATGAAACAGAGCTTTTGGTACAAGCCAAGTTCAGTGCAGAGAAAGGTAAGTTTGGGGCTAGAGACAAGTTACTGTGCATAGAGCTATCAGGAGAATAAGTTTCTGTCTGACAACAAAATTCAACATTTTGAAACACCAGGACAAAACTGTGACAAAAAGCCACACATACACATGATTTCCAAATGCTAAACAAGTCTCTAAAGGAGCCATCAAATCTAGCTGGTGGTAAGCAGATCATGACTGGTCCTAAATACTACTGTGTCCCTCAAGTCCCTTTGTCAGGTACCTCATCCGTTCTCTACCTAAAGCTAGCAATGAGCTGTAAACCCGCCACTACCATACCAAAGCCTCTAATTTAGGTATGTAAATTATTAATCATCATTGTCATTTCAACTACTTACGGAACTCTTTAGGTCAGTTGAATGTAAGAGCAGGGAATTTAGGTGTTTACATGGCTAAGCACCTGTTCCAGAATGAAGCTGGTCCGATTACTTTGCAGCTTGCCAAGTTCTGGTTCCAACAACATTCCGTACCGATGTTGTTTACCTTAAAATAGTGCCCAAATATCAAGTCAAGTATCACCTCTGGTTTGTTTCATAACCAGGAATTCATCCCTGAATCATTTTCCCTTCCTATAATCTGCTGGTTTTGCCATGTAATTACATATCACCGAGCAAGATGCTGGGGAGTTACCTCACCCACCTGTTTTGCATTGGCTGTCACCTTGTTTGGAAACACGATTCATTGAGGCTTTGAGATCTGCCTTCATCCTCTGAGGGTGTGTTTCAGCTTCACCTTTTGCTGACATCTGAATAGAATATGCAACAGCTAGTTGTGCATGGAAGTACCTCACTTCCATAGAATTGTCAGTATTAACAGCGTAGAATTTTCCACTGTATTACTTGGTGTAAATTACATCAAATTAGGTGAGCTACCATTTTATTTCACCCAAAATGAAAACTGCCCCATGATTCCTCCATCCCTGGAGGTCTTTAAGGCCAGGCTGGATGAGGCTCTGGGCAGCCTGATCTAGTGGGAGGTGTCCCTGCTCATGGCAGAGGGGTTGGAACTGGGTGATCCTTGTGGTCCCTTCCAACCCTGACAGATTCTGATCTGTTTTAGCAGAGGACTTTAGAGCCCTAATGGCTCAATGGTTGGACTTGATGATCTTGGAGGTCCCTTCCAACCTAAAGGATTCTATGATGAGGATTCTATGAATTGTGTTTAGAACATAGATGTGTGGACCAGAGCACACAGTGACTTTATTCAAATTCTTTCCTTCTATAACTTGCCTATAAACAAGATAAGTCTTTTCATATCACTTATTCAAAATGCAAAGTACCACAAATAAGTAGTGATCTCTTCAGACAGGCTGAGGACATAGCAGGAAGAACACAGTCTTACAGGCCTGAGGGGGAACACGGCTTTCTAGTCAGTCTTGGGGGAAAAATATTGATACTACAGGGTGCAGGACAGTGATTTTAAAGCTGGATAATGTATGTATGGAAAACCGAGGAACTGGAACTGTCATGTTGAAGATGCAAAATGATAATCAGATGGCTTCACTGTTTTATAGGGAGTTATTTATCATGGAATTGTAGGATGTTTGGGGTTGGAAGGGACCTTTAAAGGTCGTCTAGTCCGACCCTCCTGCAGCCATCAAGGACATCTTCAACTAGAGCAGATTGCTCAGAGCCCTATCCAACCTGACCTGGAATGTTTCTGGGGATGGAGCATCCATCACCTCTCTGGGCAACACAGGCCAGTGTTTCACCACTTTCAGTGTGAAAAATTTCTTCCTTATATCTAGTCTAAATCTCCCTTTTTTGGTTTAAAACCATCGCCCCTTGTCCTGTTGCAGCAGGCCCTGATAAAAAAAATCTGTGGTCAGCATCTCCCTTTTTACTCTAATTCCAGCAAGCAGGTAGCCTGGAGAACAGTGATTTATGATATCAAGTCTGAACTGTTTAACTTCACAACTTCACTAAAGCAGCAGCAGAGGAAGGAAAGAGCACTTGCTCTTCAGGTCCTTGTCCAGGTCATTCCTCATGTCCTAAGCAAGGTGCCAACCTGTGATGCCACCATCGTGGCTCAGGAAGGCGATGGCAGCAGCATGACACAGGAGCAGAAGGTGGCTTTGGGAAGCCACCCAGGACGAACACCCACTTCCCTAGAGCAGGATGGTTTGTCCCAGCCCCAGGCCCACCACGCCCCAGGTGACCTCCCGTGTCCTGCACTGAGCCAAACCCCAGGGAGGTGGGCAGGGCGGGACCAGGTCATCCTGCAGCCCGCACTGACAGGCAGCCAGATCTCCACCGACTAGTGGAGAGGTGCAGGACAACTGACACCAGGGGTGAGTGGTGGCTGTGGGGACTGGGGGTGGCTGCTGAGGGATGGATAGGGCTAGAGAGGTGAGGAGGGGGCCATCGGGGGATGGTAGTCACCCCCCAGGCTGCCAGCAGGTCAGTGGTGGGTGCGCCTTCTCCTGAGCCTTGCCATTACCATCCAAAATACTGCAAAAGGAATGGCCTAAATGCAGGATAAAAATCAAGGTTTGTAACTGAAAGGGCCTCGTGTTTCTATGCAGACGGTAATTTGCTCTCAGATTAAAGTGTTTTGTGTGATTTCAGCCATACAGTATTGGAAAATATTTACAGTGTGTAAATGTTCTTATTGCCTGCTTTCTGAAACAGCAGATGCCCTTTTCTGCTGAGCGGGACACCTTCCTCCCTAAGGTTGGTACCACTGTTTTCTATACTTTTTTGTCCATCTGGTATCACCTCGCTATGAAAACAAAGCACTCTATAGTCATGGCCACAAATATGCATGTAGGTGTCCCTCCCCATGGCAGGGGGCTTGGAACTAGATGATCTTTAAGGTCCCTTCCAACTGAAACCATTCTATGATTCCATGACTCTATTAAATGTATGCTACTGAACCTTTTTAAAAATCTGGGAAGCTGAGGACTCTGGAATGAAACAGCAGGTGTGTAGGGTCTAGCAGAAGATATTTTCTTTAATCCTACTCGTAAGAAGCCAGCAGCTTTCACAAAACAATTCTTTAGGAATATATTTTGTACCAGCAGTAGAGAACAATGTGAAGGAAATCACCATTTGGAAGTCAATCTTTTTTTTTTTAGTCAATATCTCAGTGTTTTGAAGGCCAAATAACATGTTGTATTTCTAGGTTTGTATAACAGAAGAGAAGTGTTTGTGCCTGCAAAATTATGTTCAACTTCAGAAGCATTCTGAAGATACTCCAGTTCCTGAAATTACTAATTTTTTATTTTTTTGAGCAATTAATCCTATTCATATTTCCTCTACGCAAAAAGTCTTTTGCTGGGGAAATTGTGCTTATTACTGGCTCTGCAAATGGGATCGGAAGGCAGATTGCCTTAAAATTTGCTCCTTCAGGAGCAACCTTGGTTCTTTGGGATATTGATGATGAAAACAACCAAGAAACAAAAAGATTAGCTGAACAAAATGGAGCTAAACGAGTATTTGCCTACCACTGTGACTGCAGCAATAGGGAGGACGTCTATAAACAAGCAGACAAGGTAAGATACAGTTTCTGGCTTTGGATTTGGCTTCTGATTATCTGCTTCTTTTTCATAATATATGCTATCGAATATTTTATTATTTTTTTTAGAAACTTCAATAAAGGGAAGTAATCTTGTAGGAAGTAATCATCTTGTCTTTTAGACAAGTACTTTCTAGATGGAACTTAAACTATGTTCACACTAAAGTAGCCACATTTAAACTGTTCAGTCAAGATTTATCCATTCCTAGTCTTCATTGTGAGATGGTAACTTCTTTTAGATTAAAAGTATGGTAAAACATGCAGCAGAGGTTTAGCTCCGTGTACTAGGTTGTTTAGGCTTTAAAACTTAAGATGTCAAGAAATAAATAGTAATTTTTTTTTTAAAAAAACAGAGGAAATTGTAAGGGGGTGTCATTTCCAGTGTCTATTTGTTTAGAAAACTGTAGCTCTGTGTAAGGGTGATGTGGGGTGTAATGGTTTCAGAAATATCAGGGTGTGGCAGATCTCCAGTCAAAGTGATGATTCAGCTTCAGTTTCTTTTTTGGTCAATCCACCTGAAAAGTAAGGTTGAGAAGGACTCCATTCCAAATTACACTTTTTTGCTGATATGACCTACCCTTTGTAAACTATTACTTTTTTATTATTATCAGAGCCCAGTAACTGGACATGAAATTAAACATTATTAATTTTTACTTGTTCTTACATCATGTAATGCCTGAAAATATTTCCCAGTATAACCCCACTTATAATCCAGTTAGCCACTCTGCTGTTTCATCCAAGGATAAATTCTTCATCTGTTAAATTCTCTGTGTATGTACTTATATACCTGACTCTCAAGTGACATCTTTGACATTCTGTGTCCAAAGGCATACATCAGAGAAATTAGCTAAAATGTTTCATTACACGTTTATGTTGACAGATTGTTTTGGAATAGCCTTGAAATGTAACATTCCTTTTCTATGTGGTGTTCGGGGGTGCTCTTTGTTTTGTGGTTGTTGCTTTTAATTTTAACAAAAATAGTTTAATTCGTTCTGAACACGGCTATGGAAGTTTGAAATAAGTGTTTTTCCTCAAGAAATGTTCCGGATGAAAATTACTTCTGAAGGGTAAGTTGAATTCAGGATCTGTAAGTATCTGGAACCACAATTCTCCTCCCTGTAGACAGCAAGGTATTATTTTACCCATACTTGTTAGCAGCATTTGGGGCACAGACAACTAACAGTGCACAGAAAAAAAAAAAAATTTCATTTAGGGCCACTGGTGCTAGATGTTAAGAACCACAAGCGGCATCATAGTTCTACTTGGACAGTGATAGAGAGGAGATATTGAACCATAACAGTATTTCTGCAGAGATGAGCAAGTTGTCGAGTGTTCTGACCTCTGCTGACCCAAGACACAATGTTCAAGGAGGATGATCTTTGCCAATTACTTGAGCAATACAGATGATGCGCTCCTCACCGTGTGAGGCACTGACGACAATTCCTACAATTAGGCATCCCAGTAATTTCAACAATCTTACTATCTGTTACCACTTCCCAGCAAGGTGAAAAATTAGTCTGAGCAACTTGTGGTCAGTACTTCAAATGTGGTACCTGATTCTCTTTTGGAATGTTACTATAAATCGACAGCAATTCTTCTAGAATCTCCTTTTTACAAGGAAAAAGCTCACTTTAGAATTTACCAAGAGCAAATCTTTTTTTCAAAAATAACATTTTAAGTTGCCATTAAATCCCTATTCCCATAAATTCTATCTGCTTCTTGCAAAGACACGCCAAAGTATTAGTTTAAGCTTATGTAAGTAATTTCTGTTGGGCTTTCCTGTCAATGCTGAACATTTTGAAATTTTTTGTTCATTCTTAGTTTAACAGAGTTAAAATGTTTGTTATGTGCACTCAGGTAATTCTCAATCTCCAAACACATTAACTGAATCAGCCACAAGGCTCCAGCCTGCAGAATCTGCTGTGTCGAGATCAGCAAAGAGTGTTCTGAAGTGCACAGCAGAAAGTCAAAGAGTTGTTTAGTATTCAGGAATTGCTGTTAAGATGCTTAATTATTGTTAATACCAACATCTTTGTAGGTATTTGCATGAATTCAACAGTCATGGTGGAGACAGAGATTCTTTTAGATCAAGGTTTTTTTCAGCTAGGATCCACCTCTACTCTTCAAAATACCTGCAGCTTTTTAACTGGTAACATGAAAAGTCTTGAGCTTAGACACAGAAGATAGAGGGATAGCAGAAAAGTTAAATTAATTGGTTTTATTTGGTATATTCACTGCAGAAAAACCAAAGTATATTCCTACAACAGAAGCTTTCTTTCTAGGAATCAAATCAGATCATTGAAATCCCTAAAAAAGAGACTGTAGAATAAACTGGTAAATTGAAAAGCAACTGATCTTTCAGGATCATTAGTGCCCACCTGGGAATTCTGAAGGGAATCAGGTATGGATCTGATGAGCTAGAAATGCATGGGGAGTGTTTTGCTATAAGAGGTATTAGATATATAACAGGTGAATGCTAAGGTTCCCTCAGAGAGCCAAAGGAAGGTTAAATGTTGGGGCATCACAACCAAGCACCTATTTAAAAGCTTCCAGACAGCTGCATATCTGGGATTTTTATGGTTTTGTAGTCATTCTGTAGGTTTTGAGACACCAAAGACAGTTCCCTCTAGCACAGAGATCTCTGCACTGACTTTGATTCTTAACACAATAAGTAAGTCTTGGCCATTTGCCTTGATAAAAATCCAAATCATGGAATAAAATCTTTTTATAACAAACTCAGATGGAGCTAATGGTGATTTTGGTCTGCTCTCCAGGAGATGTTGTCTATCTATTTATATCTCTTACACCTATTCCTGGGCTTCATCAAAAGAGTGGCCAGCAGGTTGAGGGAGGTGATTCTGTCCCTCTGCTCTGCTCTTGTGAGACCCACCTGGTATTCTGTGTCCAGCTCTGGGGCCCCCAGTGTAAGAAAGACATGGATCAATTGGAGCATGGCCAGACGTGGGCCACAAAGATGATCAGGGGCTGTAGCACCTTTTCTATGAGTACAGGCTCAGAGAGCTGGGGTTGCTCAGCCTGGAGAAAAGAAGGCTCCACGGAGGCCTTATAGTGGCCTTCCAGTACTTAAAAGGGACTTACAAGGAAGTGGGAGAGGGGACCTTTGTCAGGAAGTGTAGAGATAGGACAAGAAGTAACAGTTTCAAACTGGAAGAGGGTAGATTTAGATTAGATTCAGGGAAGAAATTCCTCACTGTGAGTGTGATGAGACAATGGCACAGGTTGAGCAGAGAATTTGTGGATGCCCCCTCCCTGGAAGTTTTCAAGCCCAGGCTGGATGAGGCTTTGAGCAACCTGGTCTAGGGAGAGCCCTTACACCTGGTTGTGGGGGAAGTTTTCCCTGCCTAGGGCGGGGGAGCTGGAACTAGATGATATTTAAGGTCCCTTCCAACCCAAGCCAGCCTATGATTCTGTATCATCACACATGCTTCTATACCCAAAGGATTGGTATCACTCGGGAATCCATGCTGAATTCTTTCCTGTTCTACAGAAATGATCTGGAAAAGGCTGCAATTAAAGCATGCTCATAGGGAACCCTAAAGCTTTGTAACTCATTACCTTAGGTTCCTGTGGAAACCAAAAGTACTCTGGAGTTCAGGAGGCAATCGCACAAATTCTTGGGGCTGGGGCTGGGGCGGAAAGCATGGTGATATATTTAAAAAAAAAACAAAAAAACAAAAAAACTAGATACCCTAATTCTCTCAGGAAGATCCTAAGCTGCAGAGTCAGAAAAGTTGAGGCGTATACCTTAGAGGCCTGGTCCTTTTTGAATTTCTTTCCACCGTGAAATGAAGGCAATGGGACCAGATGGACCTTTGATCTGATGATCTGCTGGATCTTTGATATGATAGTTCTTACATACTTGTGTTTCCAGCAGAGATATAAACTATTGCAAGTATCACTAAATGTGTTCATAAATGAAGCATAAAAGGCATGGGTACTTTCTAAAGCCTTCTGTTTATCCTTTTCTTACTCAGGTTAGAGAAGAAGTTGGAGATGTTACTATTCTAATCAATAACGCTGGCATATTACTTGGGAAAAAGTTCCTTGACATTCCAGATGCAGATTTTGAAAAGACCTTAAGAACCAACTTCTTCTCTCAAGTCTGGGTAAAGTATTTTTCCTCTTCTGAGTGACCGAAAGGTACAGGCAAGTATTTTAGCGTGAAAATCACCATGGTGGCACCTACCTGAGGAACCCAATTTGGAACAGAGATAGGAGAGGCCTTGAATGGAGGAAGATACATTTTTTTAATCATCTTATAATATAAGCCACACCAAATTGACACACATCTACCTGGGCACTCTGGTCAATGAAAAGCTTGTGCATCCACATCGTGACCCGTGCTCTATCTGCAGCAGCCATAGCTGGAGTTGGTGCTGACATGATGGCACGTGACTTTCCTGCTCCCAGTGTTTGCTGGCATCAAGAGGCTTTGTCTGATAGGCTTGTAGCATCTGTGGAGGCACAAACATATTTTTGTGGTGGACTTGGCAGTGTCAGAAAGTCATTGCAGATAGACATCTTCTAACCACTGCCCAGGCCACAGTGCATTGTTCTTCCAAATACTTGAGGCAAAGGGGCTGGGAGAGATGTTCCTCTTGACAGGTCTAAAGGGACATAGGGCAGGACGACAGTGACCATGGGCCCTCAGCCAAAAAAATCATGTACTAGGCACACACAGCTAGAGCCAAATAGACATTGCAGAACATCTTAGCTCCCGGGGAAAAAAAAAAAAAAATTGTTACTACTCTTGTCTTCCTCATTCCCTTCCCCTTCATAAAACACCACTGCCCTCCTTATATAGTTAATAGCACCCAGAGAGGTGGTCTGGGGTGATGGAGTTGTCAGGCATTTCGGTTTGTAACAAACAGGGCTCACAGACAGCTGAGCTCCCCTTGTGTTGACTTCTAGCTCCCTCTTGTGTACCAACCCTTTGGTAATAGTCTCAAATACAAACTGTGAGGAACCAGGAGCTACAGAAAACACACTTTGCTGCTTTTAGTAACACGGTTTTAACGCTGATAGATCTTTAGGTAGATGGCCGTCATTCAAGGAGATGCTGTCTCTTATTTATAAATTCTTAGAGAGATGGAAGGGCAGTTGAACTTCTTGTATATTGAATAGAAAATTGGGTCGTGAAGCCTAAGCCGGAATGCAATAGTTTTGGTAGTCTTGTTACAAAGAGGGTTTTTTAATGTGTCTTTTAGACTTGCAAGGCCTTTCTGCCAGCCATGATGACCTATAACCATGGACATCTGGTTAGCACAGACAGTTCAGCA